ATGTCCTACCGTAAATATATCAAAACTTAATTTTTGATTAGTAATATGCATTGCTAAGAACTTCATTTGAACAACTTTAAAGATGATTTTCTCAATATTTAGATTTTTTTGCACCCTCAGATTCCAGATTTTCAAATATTGTTCTATCCTAACAAACCATACATCAATGGAAAGATTATTTATTCAGCCATCTGGGTATTTAGTGGAGTTGCAGTAATGAGTGTGTGATGCTGTACCTTCTGCATGATGTGTGAGAGGCTGGAGAGCAGAGATCTGGCGGCGGCGCTGCATTCACACTGCTGTGTGTTTGGAGGAACCGGAGAGCCCAGCGCAAGAGCCACAAATACACAGAACACAGCGCCTGCGTGACACACACACACACACACACACACACACACACACACAGTTCAGATGTACTGCAATAAATCAGCCTTCAATAATGTCTCAAATGTTAACTTGTAACACTTCGATCAAACAGAAAAGTAAAGATGTAACTGATCAGTTCCATCACTACATCATGTAACAGCGAGTGTGTGTGAATATGATAAGTGAGTTACTCACAGATCTTCATGATGAGTGTCGTCGCTCAGACTCAGTCTCGGTGTGTGTGTGTTTGCTGGAGTACGAGTGCCATGGGCTTTAAGCTCATGACGGGGGAATCCCTCACACTCTCAATCCCTGTACAACCTCCACACACACACACTCACTCACACACAGTGCTTTTCTTTTGGTTTGCTGCTGCATTGAAACTGGAATAAACACTCTGATGTGTGCATGCGCTCATCACGGTGACCTCAACAAACAACTGCATTACAAGCTCCTGTTTTCACTTCATTCAGACACAGCCACAAATCACAACACTTTCCATGAATAACTGGAAAACACTGCGTAATGATCAGTAGTGGCTGCAATCCACACAAGTCTGTTTATATGAGTATTTCCACTCAATCACACAATTATCTGACTAATATTTGATAAACCCGCAGATTTTCTTTTAGTTCCAACAATGTGAGTCGTATACAGTCTCAAATAGAGCATGATACATAAATTCATCTTATCTGTAGGAGTTGACAAATTTCCAGCATGAAACATGATTCATTTTCAAAATGGAAAAAAAAAAATTAGTAGAAAGAAAGCACTTTTGGAATATATTTGATGGCAGTTTTGGATGAAACATGTGAAGACCAGCACTTAGTGTTTAATCGTCTTGTGCAATTCTATTCCAAAGCACAAATAATGAAGCAAAACTACAGAAGCTTGTTTCTGCCACAAAATTAGAAAATACAAAAAGTAATTGTGACTTTTTAATCTCAGAATTCTGACTCTTTTCTCGAAATCCCGAGTTTATTTCTTCTCAGAATTGTGAGGAAAAGTCAGTCACCTCAACCCCTTTTTTTCTCCCTGTGGCAGAAACGAGCTTCCACAGAAAAGTGATTTTAGTTACGATTCGTATTTTCTCCACAACAGACGATCCAGAACGCCACGGTCTATGAAACAAAGTTTTATTTTTTCTTATTTTACACATATCTGTACATAAGCATCTCCCTCAAATAAAGAATCTGAATACAATAGAATGAAAATGATATGAACACACTTATTCAGATGACTCGTGTCAGAATCAACATTCACGAAATGTTGAATACCAATCGGAGTGAACGTTACCAGAAGCTACAAGTCGACTACAAGGCAGGCATGTTTCCGCTGTCGTCAGGATCCAGAGGCGTTTCTCACGAGGTGTTTTACACCACTTTATGTTCTGACGGTTATAGTTTAGTGGCGAACGTAAAGGACTGAGACGGTCTAGTAGGATGGCCGCAGGGAGCAGTGTCCGAGACGGATCCGGAGGCCTGCGTTTAGTGTGTGAGGACGCGAGCGGTCAGCAGTTATGAACCACAGAAGCAAAGGAAAGGTGTCTGTCTATACTGATGTGTGGAGGTGTGCGGCTTCATTTGGACAGCGTCTTCTCCGCCAGGTGCTTCTGCTGGCTCTGAGCGTGCCTGAGGAACACACACATGACACACAAAACAGTCCTTTATTTCCAGTCCACTTTAGACACTCTACTGAGTCTATATGCAACTGCATGTCAATGAACTCTCATTAGAGTATTAGTAGACTGTTAGTAGAACGAGTCACTTATAGTCACTCAGTAGAATGTTCGGTAACACTTTATTTTAAGGTGTCCTTGTTACACATGTACTTACATGTAACAATAAATTATGCATAACTGTATGCAAGCCAAACCCTAACCATATAGTAAGTACATGTAGTTAATTACTATTACTCAGTACTTAAATGTATAATTACACTGTAACAAGGACACCTTTGTAACCAAATGTCCATCAAAATAAAGTGCTAGCAGATATTAAGCAGTCTATTAACACTCTAAACTGCTGGTTAACATGGAGTTACAAAGTTACTTATAGTTAGTAGAATGTCTAAAGTTCACTATCAAAATAACGTGTAAACAGCAGATTTGTTACTTGAAATAAACAAATTGATAATGGAAATATATATATATATATATATATATAACCATATATACATTTAATTTAACTTTACGTCCTAAAATAACTAAAACTAAAACTTAAATAAAAATGAATAGAAACTACATAAACATAAAAAACAACAATAAAATGCTAACACTTTTATTTTAAGGATCAATTCTTAATGTTAGTTTATTAGCATGCATATTGGCTGTTTATTAGCACTTATAAAGCACATATTGATGCCTTATTCTGCATGAGCATATTTTAGGTCTCCTGACCCTTAAACCCAGTACCTAAACTTAACCTCTACCTTGCTCATTTTTAATAAGCAGCAAATTAGGAGTTTATTGCGGCAAAAGTCATAGTTAGTTAATAGTGAGACCTTAAAATAAAGTGTTACTGAAAAACACACAACAAAATGACAAAAAAATGTCACTAAAATTAAAATAGAAGCAGACAATGTAATAATAAAATCAAATTCAAAAACTATAACAGCATGTCAATGGCGCTGTGAAAACATGTTCTCGTTCCGTCACTGGCTCCGGTGTAAAGTCCTTCAAGTTTTCTTTAGGGGAATTTGTGGAGTATTCCTGAAACTCAGCGCTTGTACTTTTACTCCATTACGTTCTGTTTGTCATGGTCTGGTCACCTGGTCAAGTCCTCGATGTCCACCAGCATGGCGTCCTGCTCCATGTGAAGCTGGTCTCTCATCAGCAGCAGCTGCACCAGCTCCTCGTTCAGACCTGAGCATCACACACACACATGTCCCTGAGCTCCACACACACACACACACACACACTATGCAGCGTATGAATGAGACAGACAGAGGTGTTTACCCTCGATCTGTGAGTGCAGGTCATTGACGATGACCTGCAGCTGTCCCAGCGTCATGTCTCTGAGATCCGTGGGCTTCAGACTCCTCTTCATCAGACACTCGCTGATGTGTGGCATGTGAGGAAGCTGTGAACACACACACACACACACACACACACTCACGCACACACGCACACGTACACACACACACACACTCACACTCACACACACA